GCCCCTGTGCAGGGCCTGGGGTAGCTGGGCTGGAGCAGCCCCTGCCTTCTGCGGGGGCCGCTCTAGCCTGGCCCCCCACTTAATTGGTTAAAGGGGACCCAGGCACGCTGTACCCTCCGGACCCCACCCTCCATGCACCTCCTGCTGCTCGTCAGATCCTCCTCACACCCCTCTGGGAGGGCAGGCCTGTCCCCTCCATCCTACAGAGGGGCAACGGAGGCCCAGAGACTCCCCTAATCCACCCGCCTGTACAGGTGCCGTCCTGTGCCCCCAGCCCCCTGCACACACTGTCCCTGCAGCCCCTCACTCCGGGCCATATTCTTGGGTCTGGTTCTGAACTCCCACTACAGGGCCACTGAAGCTGGCAGGGTCACCCCTATCGGAGCAGAACCTTTATAAGCCGAAGGCTTCTCTTTTCAATCCCTGCCTTAGAGAGAGAAACCCAAACCAGAATTGGGAGCCACCTGGCTAGTGTCCCTCTAATTTTTCCCAGCCCTGAGCAGAATGAATTTTCTTATGTGCACCACTGTGGTGACGTGCAGAATGGGGGTGGGGAGGCATGCGACATCACCTGCATATTGGTGCACCTAACAACATTCACGTGGGGCAGAGGGTGGGGGGTGCAAGAGTGTGAGGGCTCCTGCTAGGGGTGCAGGCCCTAGGATGGGGCCAGAGGTGAGGGGCTCAGGCTGCAACCAAGGGTTAGGGTGCAAGAGCTCTGTCTGGGAGTGTGGGGGAGGTCCAGGGATGGACCGGGGGGGAGGAGAAGGAGAGATCGTGGTGGTGGGAGGTCCAGGGATGAGCCACAGTGGGGGGAGTGGGAGGTCCAGGGAAGAGCCACTCCAGCCACAGTGGAAGGGAGGAGGCCACGGTTGGCTTCGGGAGACACCTGGTTCACACCATCCCCTGCCCAGCCCAGGGCGAGCTAGGCAGCCGTGCTGACATGTGGCCATACAGCTCACAGGGACCCATGTCTGGACCCCTGGTTTTTTGCAGGGCGGGGGAAGGAGGTGGGTTAATTACAAGCACTGCCACGTTCGCAGGCTCTGAGCCCCACATTCAGGGGCGCCTGGACCAGGCTGCGCAAACTCTGGCCCTGGGCTTTTTGCTTTGGGCCCGGCTCTAGCCAGGCCATGCAAACCTCAGCTCCCTGGAACGACGGGCCCGTCTTTGCGCAGGCCGCATCCATTCCTCGAGGCGCCGCCAGGTCTCACGCCCCAGACGCTGCGCTCACCAGCCGGCTGCGCCCCCGGCAAGAGGGCTCAGGAACGAGCCATTTACCCAGGAGGAGGAACTTCCTCTTGTCCCCGTAGAGCTGCAGCAGGTCTGAGCAGTATTCCTGGACGGACCGACCCATCCGGTACTCCCTGAGCAGCAACGCGAAGCGCTGGATCTCCAGGGGAGAAAGCTTGCTCCTCAGCTGCAGAGCAGAGGGAGAGCGAGGTCAGAGGTGGCTGCAGACATCCCCATCCAGCCCTGCTTCACCCCAGGCTCCCCGGCAACGATGGGGCAGGACGCGGGGCTGGAAGGATGCCGGGGACAGGGGCAGGAGGCAGCAGCAAAGAGCGCACCGTGACCATGTAGTCCTGCAGCTGCTCCAGGCCCACGCTGCTCTGGTCGCTCCCGCTGCAGGCGGTGGCCAGGCTGTGACGTGACTCCCGGAAGGACGGGGAAGACGTCCCGCTGTAATACGCTTCAAAGGTCTCGTGGGAGCCATCGCTGCAGGCAGAAGGGAAGGAGATCAGGGGGGCTGTCTCCAGACATCCTCCTTCACCCCCCACCCCACCCCACTTTCCAGGCAGTGGGATTGCTTCCTGGCTGGAGTCTTTTTCTTAGGAACTTCCCCTGCAGGAGAGATGGCTGGCCGCTGGAGCCTTTTATACCTGAGATGGGGCTGTAACCTCTGACCTCATGCTCAGCATTCTGGGAAATGTAGTTCAGGGGCTTAGTGGCCATTTTCATAGACTCAAACTCTAGAACTGGAAGGGCCCTCTAGAGGTCATCACATCCACTCCCCTGCCCTCCCGGCAGGACCAAGCACCATCTAGATCATCCCTGACGGGTGTCTGTCCAACCTGCTCTTCAGTCTCTCCAGTGATGGGGATTCCACAACCTCCCCAGGCAATTTATCCCAGAGTTTAACCACCCTGAGGCTACGTCTAGACTGGCATGATTTTCCGCAAATGCTTTTAACGGAAACGTTTTTCATTAAAAGCATTTGCGGAAAAGAGCGTCTAGATTGGCACGGACGCTTTTCCGCCAAAGCACTTTTGACGGAAAAGCATCCATGCCAGTCTAGACGCGGTTTTGCACAAGAAAGCCCCGATCACCATTTTCGCCATCGGGGCTTTTTTGCGCAAAACAGTTTTTAGCTGTCTACACTGGCCCTCTTGCGCAAAAATATTTCCGGAAAAGGGCTTTTGCCCAAACAGGAAAGTCAAAGCATTTGCGCAAGAAGCACTGATTTCAGGCAGTGGAACGTCAGTGCTTTTGCGCAAAATCAAGTGGCCAGTGTAGACAGCTGGAAAGTTTTTGCGCAAAAGCATTTGCTTTTGTGGAAAAACTTGCCCGTCTAGACGCAGCCTGACAGTTTGGAAGTTTTTCCTCATGTCCAACCTAAACCTCCCTCACTGCAATTTAAGCCCATTGCTTCTTGTCCCATCATAATAGACCAAGGAGAACTCTTTTTCTCCCTCCTCCTTGTGACACCCTTTAGGCACTTGAAAACTGCCACAGGCAGGTTTGCAATTGAGTAAAATAAAGGAACATGGAATTTTTAAGCGTGATATTTTGACGCTATAATGTGCTGAGCTGATTGGCTAGCTTCCTTGGGTGCGAGTTGGCTGGTTTGTTTGCTAAACGAAGTTGAAGTTTGAAATCTCTGCAGGGTGGATTATGGGTAATTCCTCATGTAATAACCCTCTGCGCGATTGGTCAGCAGGGATGGAACCCTGGGACCACCCAGGGTTGCAATACGCTTTTGAACTAAAAGTGCAACTCCACCAGCTGGCAGCTGTAGTAGGCTGTTTTCTTCTGTGGCACCAGCCAGCTGCATTACAAACAACCTACCTGGCTGATTTAGTTGGGACTGGTCCTGCCTTGGGCAGGGGGCTGGACTTGATGACTCCTGAGGTGTCTTCCAGCTCTATGATTCTATGACCCTGCGGGTGAAGCCTACCATTTGGGAGCAAGAAAACTCCTGGACTAGGATAACCTTGTTCCTGAGTCTTTCCTGGACTTTCCCGGCTTCCCTTTGGACCAAAGAGGTTTTGTTTCACGTGCCCGGTGCTGGACTCTGGCTGGCAGCTCCCAGCCCTTTGTACAGACGCAAGCACTTTAAAGGCAGATAAATGTGTCCCCCTGTTTCTAACTCAGGCTGCTTTGAGTCCCTGCCCAGGGCCTGGCTCCCGCACACAAGGGGCAAGCAGGCAGCGTAGGGTTGCATGGAGCATGCCCAGGAATAAAGGGGGGGTCATTTGGCCCCCAGGGAGCAGGACGTACAATGAGCTGCAGCAGCTGAAATCGGCGTCGTATCCGTACGTCCCGTCAGTGTGGCAGCTCTCGCCTGGGAAAAGCAAGGCCGTAGGGGAGGATTAGGGAACTGTCCCATCCCTGTGTTCCCCGGGCACCAGCCCCCCTTTCCTGTTTGCTACACGGTGCCAGGTCCGGCACGAGGCCAGAACACGAGGCATCGTACGCGGAATCCCAGCCACCCCCAAATCTTGCCTCCGTGCTTTGCCAGCCCAAATGCTGCCCCCCGGCAGCACCCCACCCCCACTGCCAGACTGCCCCACCCTGCCACCGCATGTGGGCCTCCCCGCCTCGGAGCTCCGTGATAACCACCCAGCAGCGGGAGGGGCCCCCCGTCCGGTCACCCCACTCCTCCAGGCGCTCACTCCTGCTGGAGAGCCAGGGCCGCTCGGGGGTGGAGGTGTAGTGGAAGCCAGCCCGGTCCACGCACTCGATGCTCTGGTCCCCATAGATGATCTGGAAGACCTGGCAGATGAGGGCACAGGATTCTTCGGCGGCATCCTGCCCCCAGGAGAGAAGACGCCTGTTGTGACCTGCGGCGGGTCGCCCGACGGGTGGGTCGCCCCTGGGACGGCTACTCACCCTGTTGGCCACGGCCAGGATGATGAGGTTGCAATAGGCCTCAGGGCTGGGCTCCTTGGGATCCAGCGGGTTGTTCCCCGCTCGCCTCCG